ATCTATATATATATATATATATATATATATATATATATATATATATATATATATATATATATATAATTAGTTGTGCTGGAAGAGACCATTGCCAGAGATCTCAGAATTCCTGGGTAATTTAGTCAAAGTGTCATTTGTAATTCACGTTTAGCACATGGACTGACTTTAAACTTTTGAGGTTTTACGTATGGCAGGAAGAAAGGGTGATTACCAGCTCCCAAATCAAAGGGGAAGTCACTTATAAATAGTTACTCGGAATTTTTTAAATCGTTATATTTTCTTCTGCATGTCAATATGACGCAGTAGGAATGGCTGTGGAACTCTCTTCTCTCTGCCACTCCTCACCAGCCACATGATGTGGATAAGTCTCCTTACCCCCAAGGCCCCTGCTTTCCTCATGTGTACCAGGAAGCATGATAATATCCATCCTTACTTCCTCCCACCCAAGGATGATGCTAAAAAATGTGAGATGAGGGCCTTACCTAGTGGCGCAGTGGTTGAGAGTCTCCCTGCCGATGCAGGGGACGCGGGTTCGTGTCCTGGTCCAGGAGGATCCCACATGCCACGGAGCGGCTGGGCCCATGAGCCATGGCCGCTGAGCCTGCACGTCCGGAGCCTGTTGCTCCGCAACGGGAGAGGCCACAGCAGTGAGAGGCCTGCGTACCGCAAAAAAAAAAAAAAAGTGAGATGATATGTATGAAAATCCTTTGGAAATGAGAGTATGTTATTTATTTTAAATTATTATTATTGATATATTTTATTTTTACCTAAAAGCTTTACTTTTTGATCATATTAATAGAAATTTAAAAACACAATTTAGTGCTATGATACTCATGGGCCATATGGTTTATTTTATAATCTACACTGAATGGCTATTAAAAACAAAATCTTAGAGGCTTCCCTGGTGGCACAGTGGTTAAGAATACACCTGCCCATGCAGGGAACGCGGGTTCGAGCCCTGGTCCGGGAAGGTCCCACATGCTGTGGAGCAGCTAGGCCCGTGTGCCACAACTACTGAGCCTGTGCTCTAGAGCCCACGAGCCACAACTACTGAAGCCCGTGCGCCTAGAGTCCGTGCTCCACAACAAGAGAAGCCACTGCAGTGAAAAGCCTGAGCACCTCAATGAAGAGTAGCCCGGCTCACAGCAACTAGAGAAAGCCCGCGCGCAGCAACAAAGAGCCAACACAACGAAAAATAAATAAATTAAATAAATAAAATTTAAAAAAACCAAAAAACAAAAAAACCCCAAATCTTAGAAGTCTAGTGGTTTGATGAAATTTATCATTGCTACAAGTGTACAGCGACCTCTAGTGTTTATATAAAGAACTCCTCCCTCTCGACGTACAGGGTGCTGGACTGTTCAGCACCTTGGGACATACTGCTGATTTAGCTCTCTCACTTCCTCAGAAGAAAGGACTACTATGCTGAGATAGTAAATAATGAATATGACTCGTTGTAAACTTGAAAATGTGTAAATCTCTTGCAGACATTAATCTCCTTTACAGGACTAATGGAGAAAACTCCATTTGAATCCCTGATTAATCATATTACTTAGTTATGTAACGGAGGATTACCGTTTAATTCTGTCCTGAGGGCTTCCCATATTTTTCTATCACAGGCATAAGTGTTCTTTAACATAAAATGAATAAGTGCTTTGACACTGAAGTTAGACTGCTTACGTTTAAATCCAAACTAGGCTTTATAGTTTAAATCTTCTGCTAGCCATCTGACTTTGCAAGTTACTTAACCTTCTCTGTGCCTCAGTTTCTGCACCTGTCAAATGACTTTTTGGAAAGATTGAGGACATAATCCATGTCAAGCATCTATCACGGTGCTAGACCCACAATGAGCACATATCTTTAGAATGTTCACATTATGAGAAATATAGGGATGTGGGTAATAGAAATCGGAAAAGATGAAAAACAGTTCCTAATCCGTCACGAGCTTCATTAACATTTCAAAAATATCATTGAGAGGTCTAGACTTTAATTTTAATAGCTTTGCTGTCAGCTTGACACATCTGCCAAGGAGAAGTTAACTAATGCAATATATCCCTGTGGGTCCAGGAAGAAGTGAGCTGTTGTTATGATGGTGACAGTGGTGGCTCTCTTTGCTCTGTGCTGGGCACCTTTCCACGTTGTTCACATGATGACTGAATACAGTGACTGTTTATCATTCTCATTTGATGGAAGTTCTAGTTCATTTCCTGCTAGAATGGAAAATGAATCATTGAAATATGTTGCCATTCACTTGGGTAATCAAATATCAAACATTTAATAGGTTTCTTTCATGTTTTCAAGATCACTAGTTGTTATGTGGCAGGTAATTATGTATGAGTATCATCAAAGCTTTAATAATTTTAGGGCTTCCCTGGAGGCGCAGTGGTTGAGAGTCCGCCTGCCGATGCAGAAGACACGGGTTCGCGCCCTGGTCCGGGAAGATCTCACATGCCGCGGAGCGGCTGGGCCCGAGAGCCGTGGCCGCTGAGCCTGCGCGTTCGGGAGAGGCCACAACAGTGAGAGGCCCGCGTACAGGAAAAAAAAAAAAAAAAAAAAAAACTTTAATAATTTTAATAATTACAAAAGGTAAAGAACAGCTTCTGAGATTCATCTCCCATGCTACACCTTCTGTTCTCCCTAAGCCATTTAAACATTGGGAGAGGTGTGACAGCCTGTGAGTGTTCTCTATTTAGAACCCTCACTCGAACCACATGAATTTAATAACACCTCGGATTTCAGCCAGACCCTTAATGTATTCTCTCTGATAATCTGAGCCTTGACATGGTTCTCAGATGATTGTGTTTCTATAACACAAGTGGACATTTGATGAGTAACTGCGGCTTCCAGTTTACATGAAGCTTGAAATCAGACTGAAATGCAATAAACCCTCTAATCTGTGCTGGGCACTGGGCTGTGCTTGTAAGCTTAGATTCTCTAAGAAGGAGGACTCTTCACAAAGGTGGTTTTTCTTCAGACATCAGATGGCTCTCCGCAAAATGGTCTTGAGAATTTTTCACACCTTTAACCACTTGTACAGTGTAAGTATTTGATAAAGACAGAAGATAAACAGAAAGGTTATTTTATAGCCATTAAAAAAATATCCACTCTAAAGCGTTACTTTTTATTTCAGGCAATTTTGAAAAGGAATATGATGAGGTTACAATCAAGATGATTTTTGCTGTAGTTCAAATAATTGCATTTTCCAATTCCACCTGTAATCCAATTGTTTATGCACTTATGAATGAAAACTTAAAAAAAATTTTTATCTGCAGTTTATTATTGCATTAGTAAAAGAAACATTTTCCCCAGCACAAAGGCAGGGAAATTCAGGAATTACGATGATGCAGAAGAAAGCAAAGTTTTCCCAGAAAGAGAACCCAGTAGAGGAGACCACAGGAGATGCATTCAGTGATGGCAACATTGGAGTCAAGTTGTGTGAACAACCCGAGGAGAAAAAACATCTCAAACGACATCTTGCCCTCTTTGATTCTGAGTTTTCTGCTTTAGGCAGTGGGCATTAATTATAACAATGTCTTCATAATTAATGCCATTCATGGCTTAATCTGAAGAGAAAATTATTTTGAGCAAAGGTCAAAGATTTGTTGTTTATCTAGCAGTTTTTCCACCATGCAGTCAATGTAATGTGGCTTTCTATTTATTGCTAGGATGGATGAGAAAATAGCTTAACAATTATATCATCTTTCTGGAGTAAGTTTAATAGTTGAACACTATAATGTAATTTTTAGCGTACCATTGAAGCTTGGTGATAGGTCTCTTGCAAAAGAGGTCTCTGCAATCAAGTCAAAGGCGTTGGAGAAGCAGCAAAATGACAGATGGCTGAGATTTAGAGGCAGATGCCTGGGTTTCAGCTTCTTACCCATCACCATTGCTGTGATGATTGACAAGTCACTTAACCTCTTTAAGCCTCTTTTCCTTCCTGTGTAAACTGGGGTGGTATCTCCTACCTCACGAAGTTGCTGCCAGAACAAAATGAGAAAAGAGTGGGAAGGCACTCTCTACTCCAAAGCACCCCAAGTTCTGGAGCATTATTGTAGTTCTTCACGTCTCAGCATCCGCCCTCTTTCTGTTCCCTTTTCCTTTCTGAGACTTGTACTGAACCCTATTCAACTTTCCCCTTGTGCCTATTTTGTAACTGCTTTCTCTAATCAAAAGAGGAATGTTTCTGGGATCCTCATTTATAAGTTGACTATAATATATTTAGGCCAATCTAACTATATCAAATATTGATATTTTTAAGCCTTCTATTTTCACTCGTGGGATGAAAGACTTTTTGTTATGTAAAAGGGCTTTTAGGTGTAGTCAGTGAGAGAGAATCAACTCCAAGCCCGTGAAATTTTATCATGCCCAAAACTGACCCCCCCAAGAGCGCTGGGCCAGGAAGAACCATAAAGTTCCTCACCTGTATTCCTTACCTAATTCTCCCTTAAACTCAACCCCTCTCCTTTTAGTATTTTCCTCTTATTCCCAAATGTCATGGTTCCAGTGGCCACCATCACTGTGCCCTGTTGCTTCCCCTTCAATATCTGAGCTTCTCAAAGTCCCGTCGTCACAGCCTCATGGCCAAAGTGTTTCTACTGCTTCCAATTTTCCAACACTTATTCTTCCAGCCAGGTATTAGAAAGGAAGAGAAGCTCAAGAATTCTCAGGGTATTTCACTTGTACAGCTTTCAGGTTTGTGTACCAGAGAACTCAGGCCATTGGGATCTTTCAAGATACAGACATTTAATTTTATATGTGTGTTAATGTGAGCATGGATGAGAAAAAAAAAAAGATGAAACTGTGTGTGGTACTAGGGGAAAATATCAATATGACACAGGAAAATTAACAAAATCAAGAGAGGAAAACTGATTATTTGGTTTATGTTGAAATGGACTCATCGTGGGTTATTTATGTATGCCGTCCTCCTGTTATACCTGTAGCAGAACAGTGGTTATCATTAAACCATTAAAAATGAATCATATTCACTGATTTTTGGTTATCCTTATTTGTCAAATATTCATATGACTCTTCCTAAATTTGATGTACTCATGCTCCAAATATGACAATGAATAATGGATAAATCAACACTATTCCTGACCATTTAATTATTAAGATTAGAGTTTTTTAAAAAATATTAAATGTTGCAGAGCTTGATCTAAAGCATTTAGATATTAGATAGTAACATAAATATTTACTGTAAAATTTCCAGACATCCTGTGAAAGCTTTTCTTTTCTTTCGTTTTTTTCCCTCACATTGCATTAATGTTGTTTCAGAAACAAAAATAGTTATAGCTCAATTTTTTTGTCTTTTAAACCTATAATCCTTTTGCTCTGTTATAAAAGTTTGGAAGAGAAATATCGTCCAGTCCATTACTGAGAAATGCCCTACCATTAGCCAGAGAAGCTCTGAATCCAGTATGACGTGAATCCTGATGATGGTGTAACATAATTTATGACTCCATCCAGAGTTTGCCTTGGATTTGCAAAAGGAGGGCTGGTTATGGCTTTTCTTTCTAATTTCTCTGACTTCACAGTCCCCTGAGTCTCTTAAACCCCTTTGTCCTCCATCCAAGGACCTGCTCTTTTCCCCTTTTTCTCCTGCCCTAAGAGGTCACTCATTTTACTCCATCTTGTTTCCCCTTATCTGGTGCCTGGAGTGAGAACTGCAAAGGTCTCTTTGGATCCAGGAGATACAGTTGAAGAAAGGTACAGAAAACTATCCTTCCATTTATCAGCATTTGGGTAAAATGTCTATGAGATCAGTGAAAAGATATGTATCACTGTTCAAACCCTTAAGTCCTTTGTCTCATTTTGGATCATTACGCCAAAAAGAGCTCTATGTATTGGCCAATGTGGCAACATAATTCAAAAGGGAGAGGAAAAACTTTCAAATGGTTCCAAAACAATTGAATATCCAAGTACCAAAATAGGACCTTGATCTTTACACTGTACATAAAAATTAACTCATAATGCATCATAGACTTAAATATAAAAGCTAAATCTATAAAACTTCTAGAATAAAACATAGAAGAAAATCTTTTACCCCAGATTAGGGGAGGTAAAGATGTCATAAACAGGGCACTAAAAAGGAAGAAGCCTAAAAGAAAGAAGTGATAAAATGAACTCCATCAAAAACAGAAACCTGTGCGTGAATGTTCATAGCAGCTTAATTCAAAATAACCAAAAACTGGAAACAACCCAGATGTTTATCAACTAGTGAATGAATGAACAAATTTTGGTAAAGCTATCCAATGAATATAACTCATCAATAAAAAGGAATTACCTACTAGCACATGTAACAACAAGAATCAATTTCAAAAGTATTATGCTAAGTGAAAGAAGCCAGGGAAGAAAGAATGTATATTCTACGACTCCATTTACATGAAATTCCAGAAAAGACAAACTATAGGGATAGATAACAAGCAAGTGGTTGCTAGGGGCTAGCTAAACTTAGGCAACTGACTGCAAAGGACCTGAGTGACTTTTTTGGATGTTAGAAATATTCCATATCTTGATTCTGGTCGGTTACTTGACTTTATACATTTGTCAAAATTTATTGAATTGTATACTTTAAGAGGACCGATTTATTGTATGAAAATTATACTTCAATTTTTAAAAATACATAAGGGAATTTCATTTTGCAATGCAAAAAGGCCAGATCCTTATATTGGTTCCTTGACTGGTAGCACAAGATCTGCTAGAGTAGGAAAAGCCCGGTGGAAGCTTTTGAAACTGCGTCCCCTCTCCCCACCCGCAGCAGCCAAGAGAGTAAATCAAAAGCTATATTGCTTCCCAGGGTGAACATCAAAGATTACTCCCGCTCTCAAAGATTTAAATGATGCAGCATAGGTACCCATCATATCCCTACTTAATTTACCAGTCAGACCCCTGCAAAAACTAGTCAGATCTAAATGAATGACAGTGGACTAACACAAATTAGGTCATAACTCCAAGTGCTGTTACTGTGCTGGGTGTAGTATCTTTACTAGAGCAGATTATCACAGCCTCTGGTCCACTTCATGCAACTATGGATCAGGCAAATGCATTGTTTTCAATGCCCACTTAAAAGGCAAATCAGCAGCAGTTTACATTCACACGAGATAGAAGACAGTATACATTCCACTGCTTTAACCAAGATTATGTTAATTTGCCTATTACTTCAGAGAATAGTCCAAAGGGGCATGAACAGTCTGGATATTCCATGGAAGATCATTTTGGTCCACTATATTTATCACATTATATTAGATCTGAAAAGCAGAAAAAACTGGCAAGGACTCTGCTTTCATATGCTCTGGAGGGTGCCACATTGGTGAAGTTTTTAGGGGTTCTTATGTTCTGGGAAATTTCGGGACATAGCTTTCCAAGTAATATATGGGTTTTTGTACTTTGAACATCCTACCACTAACAAAGAAGAGTACAGTACTTGGTAGACCTCTTTGGGTTTCAGAGGCATCTATTCTCCTCTAGCAAATATTTTTTTGACCCATTTATTGGCAAAATGGTAGGCTGCTAGTTTTGAGTGGGTCCCAGAACAAGAAGGGGCTCTGCAACTGGTCTAGGTTACATACAAGCAGACCTGTATATACATATATGTATATACATTTTATACATATATAAAAGATACATATGTATGTAGGTGTATATATTATATATATATACACGTACATGCACAGACATATATGATGTACAAAGCACAGTGCTTTGAACTTCATAGTGGTGAAATATTTATTTGTTGATTTGAATTGATATATATCCTTTTCTTCCCCAAAGGTCACATGAGTTTATTCTCCTTCTATATTTATAAACGACTCGAGTCATATAGCATAGAGGAAATGCAGCAGTTCTATTATAAAATGCAGTGATACTTATTAAAGCCCTACTAAAGATAGTAAAGCTGTGCAGGAGAACAAAATTGAAAATACATAAACTTTGATATTGAATCACTGCTTTTGAGAGCTTCATAATAAGCTCTCTTATCTAACATTTTATGTCTCTCGATTATGAAATTCTTGAAAATTTTGATGGGATGTCTCAGATCTTCCATTAATGAAACATTTGTGCTAGTCAGAGTAGGAACCTGGGGTAAAGGATGAACAAAAGGTCTGAGTCAGAGTGTAGATACTATTATCCAAGGTGGTGTGTGGGAAGAACTGAAGGATAGAGAAGCCCTGGTTAATTCACTGGTCATCACCAAGACTTTAACGCAGGGATATAATACCTGGGCTCTTCTGCTTATTCCAAGAAGAGGAAAGAACTTTTTAATCTGAGAGGAGGGACATTTATGATGGCCTGAAATACCTTCCCTATGCCCCATCCCCACTCCTTTTCTAGTTAGTCCACCTGTGGAACAGTGAAAGAACACGGGCTAAGGTCATATTCTTGGGTTTAAATCCCACTTTTGCCACTTATTTGCTGAATTGGTATGGGTCAGTCATCTGATGTCTTTGACGCTCACATTTCTTATTTATAGAATGAGGTTAGAGTATAATGATTCAGTGAGATTGTACGGCTAAAAGTTTAA